AACACACACAAACACACATTTTTATCAAATAATACGTCATTAATAGCGGTTCACTTCCGTGATTTGGTACGATTGCATTCACATCAGCAGTGAACCATACCCCAGACCACCCTTTTTAAGCGGACTCTGGTACAGTTCGCGGGTGCTCACCCGAGTTCGGAAGACAGCGTTCACATCATCCAAACGTACCGAACTCTGACGTCAATCGAAACCGGGTGCGCACCAAAAGTGCTAGTGTGAAAGCACCCTTACTTTCAACGCCCTAACTGGGCACAGTAGATTGGGACCCTGCTCGCCTTCTGTAACAGGGAGCGCCAAAAGGGTAATCACCTGGGGGCTCATGTATAAAACTTTACGTAGATTTCATCCTAAATGTGTGCGTACGCACAAAAGCTACATTTTGCATACGTACAAAAGTTTTCAGATTTATAAAGCCATGTGTACGCCAGAACCTGCGCAAAATTCCCTTTGTAATACCCAGTCAGCGAAAGATGAGTAATAAAATGAGTAATGCGTACATGAATCTCCACCCCATCTCCTCCCCGAAATAGCCATTTATGGAGCTTACAACGCCTAGTTTTAATATGCATAACGTCATCTGCATATCATTTCCATGCATATTTCACTGCAATTTGCCCTAAAAGGTAAACATATATTTTAGAATGTTTATAGCCTATATTTGTATATTATTAATAATATAATTATTTTTTTGCAGTGTAAATAGCTGTCTGACTCACTTTAATAACAAAACATTTTGAAAATAAAGCGCGCCTATCTTAGTATCTTTTAAATATGGTGTTTGTCACAATATTGAGAAGAGCACGAAAGGGGTTATCATTAGGCTACTGTCTGTGCGCGACACCTGTGAACAAGGTTCTACTGTCATCGGACCTGTTTAAACCAGCCAATGGACTGTTTGATCAACGAGTGCATCCTTATGTCTGTCATTACCGTCTATGTTCCAAAGCCATCAGACGAAGTAAAGTTCACATCAATGATCATTATTATTCACGCAAAAGTATTTTCTCAGTACATGAGTTTTGCTATTTAGAACACAATTTAAAGCGGAATTGTCATGTGCCAAGCAATCCTCGCTGTGGAGGAACACTCAATCTAACTCTGCACTGGACCCTCTCTTCGTCGATGACTCTAACCACCCCGTTACATGTTTTTGGTTCCAAAAACACTTGAAAATGATCCTCGCTCAATCAGACTTACCCGTAAAAAAAAAAATTCCAGCTACTACTACTATCGGGGCAGCAACTACAGCAGCTCAAAAAAAAACACATTTAAATCACCTTCTATACTCGGGTAATTGGAGGCTCTCCTTTGCAATGCAGTAAGTCACAGCTCCTTTTGGTCGCAGTAAGAGCCCTCCAGCCGTCGATTCGAATCTCATTGCTTATTCAGCATCAGACGGGACTCTCCCTTCCGGTGCAGCAGGGCCCTTCGGTCGCAGTGTGAGTCTTCTGTCTGTCATTCTGAGTTACGCTGCATACTCTGCGGCGGATGGTGCTCTCCCTCCCGGTGCAGCAGAGCCGCAGGCTCCCTTCAGTCACAGTGAGGGCCCTCCATCGAGGCAGCAAACTACGCCTCGTATTCAGCTGAAAAGGGGGACTCTCCCTTCTGGTGCAGCAGAGCCGCAGCTCCCTTCGGAAGCAGCGAGAGTCTCTCCATCAGTCCCCTTGCTTATTCAGCATCGCACGGGGCTCCCCCTTCCGATGCAGCAGATCCACGGCTCCCTTCAGTCGCAGGGTGATCCCACTGTCTGTCATTTTGAGTTACGCTGTGCACTCTGCGGTAGACGGGGATCTCCCTCCCGGTGCAGACGATCCGCTGGCTCCCATCGGTTGCAGTGGGAGCCCTCCATCCGACGTATCAAACTGCGCCTCGTAGTCAGCCGCAAGGGGGACTCTCCCTTCTGGTGCAGCAGAGCCGCAGCTCCTTTCGGAAGCAGCGAGAGTCTCTCCATCAGTCCCCTTGCTTATTCAGCATCGGACGGGGCTCCCCCTTCCGGTGCAGCAGATCCACGGCTCCCTTCGGTCGCAGGGTGAACCCTCCGTCTGTCATTTTGAGTTACGCTGCATACGCGGCGGCAGACGGGGATCTCCCTCGCTGTTGCAGCAAAGCCGCTGGCTCCCTTCGGTCGCAGTGGGAGCCCTCCATCCGACGCATCAAACCACGCATTGTATTCAGCTGCAAGAGGGACTCATTTGATAACTTCAATCGTGCTCCTCTTCTAGCAGCATGTAGGCCTCGCCAGTCCGACACTGCAAGCCGCAGCTCCCGTCGAGCACTGCACGGGCTCTGCCGGTCACCCTGCCCCCTTTTTCTTCACAAATTTTAACCCATATCTCTTCACAGAACGCATATTTTGGGGGGCAACAAAAACTTAAAAAAAATTTGCTCTCTAGCTGCTCTCCCATGCCTTTAAGCTTCTTTTGGGGAGTTATCTGGGTTCGGGCTATATTCCGGGCTCGGAACCCACCCACAGGACAGCACGCCAAAATATGCTTACTATTTGCTATCAGATTAGATGTAAGGGTGAACACGTGAAATGTAACGTATGTTTCATTCATACTGGAAGCCGGAGGGCGACCTCACACAAAAACTGTACATACGCATCACAGAAGTAATAGAACTCATGATGTTTCAGGAAATCCTTTAATATGGGTAAAGGCATCCAGCTATTGCTGTGAATGAATAAAAATAAGATTTGCCAACAATAACATTTTAACTGATCAAACGTGAAGACGATAAACACACGACGTGACAATATATGGTTTATCTGTGTTCTTCAATCTATCTTTGGTATTTTCATAATGGCAAAGTGTATTTATAATCCAATGCTAATCAAGGTTTCGCAAGAGTGTGTGAGCTCATCGGCGTGATGAAATGTCTGTTTCATTCATACTGGAAGCCAGAGGGCGCCCTCGCACAAAAACTGTACATACGCATCACAGAAGTAATAGAACTCATGATGTTTCAGGAAATCCTTTAAAGGGGTCATATGATGCGATTTCAATTTTTCCTTTCTCTTTGGAGTGTTACATGGTCTTGGTGCATAAAGAAGATCTGTAAAGTTCCAAAGACTAAAGTCTCAAATCCAAAGAGATATTCTTTATAAAACCTTAAACCGCATAAACACATTTCATTAAACCAAAGACACAAAATAATGTTCTTTTTAGCAGCATCATATGACCCCTTTAATATGGGTAAAGGCATCCAGCTATTGCTGTGAATGAATAAAAAGATGGAAACATTTTAACTGATCAAACATGAAGACGATAAACACACGACGTGAAAATATATGGTTTATCTGTGTTCTTTAATCTATCTCTGGCATTTTCATAATGACAAAGTGTATTTATAATCCAATGCTAATTGAGGTTTCGCAAGAGTGTGTGAGCTCATCGGCGTGATGACAGCTCCATCCATTGTAATGCGAGCGCTTTTTGCTTGATTTAACACAAAAAATCTCATGTGTGAACTAATAAGCCAGTTGTTGAGATAGTTGAGTATCCAGATGCCCTCTTCCTGAAATGGGTCAAGGGCACCCTCCACAACCTTGGTGAAAACGTGAAGAGACAGCGACAGCCAGAAGGGGGCTGAACACATGAAAGGATGCGTTTCTGCATTAACCCTTAAATGCACACCTCAGGTCTTTAGTGACCCGGGACGCCATTCACTACCCTCTCCCTCCTTAATTTGTTTAAGTTAGACATGAACTTTCTAAGTATTCCTCAATCTATTCATTATAAACTATATAACAAGAAAATGTTCTCAATAAAACTATGGCACAATGTTTCAAGATAACAAAGAAAGAACATTCTCTCAGCCACATTAGGTAGTGATGGTATTGGGCAGGTGATGAGCGGTGCCTAGTTTCCTCCAAACATGACGCTTGCCAAAGAGTTCAATCTTTGTTTCATCAGACCACAGAATTTTGTTTCTCATGGTCTAAGAGTCCTTCAGGTGCCTTTTAGCAAACTCCAGGCAGGCTGTCATGTGCCTTTCACTGAGGAGTGGCTTCCATCTGGCCGCTCTACCATACAGGCCTGATTGGTGGAGTGCTGCAGAGATGGCTATTCTTCTGGAAGGTTGTCATCTCTCCAAAGAGAAACGCTGGAGCTCTGTCAGAGTGACCATCAGGTTCTTGGTCACCTCCCTGACTAAGGCCCTTCTCCCCCGATCTTTCAGTTTAGCCGGGCGGCCCGCTCTAGCAATCCTGTCTCGGAGGTCTACAGACAACTCCTTGGACTTCATGGCTTGGTTTGTGCTCTGACATGCACTGTTAACCGTGGGAGCATATATAGACAGGTGTGTGCTAGGGGTGTAACGGTATGCGTATCGTGTACCGATCGGTTCACGGGCAAATTCCAAATGGAAGTGATCATTCCTACTTTGGACTTTGGAGTGAGCAGGGCACGTGCGTGCCATTATGTAGTCCTTTTGAATGCACTTGGCAAAGGGAGCGTTGTAATTTCCTCATTATCTTCAGCGGGGATGTTCCCGTGACAACGCAGCACGGTGTTCGTCAGCAGATTTTCTGCGCCATTGACTTTAGACCAGGCTTTTGTTGGTCAATGGCGCAGTCTATTGCAGTTGCCTCAAAATAGCAACGTGGCGCAGGACGTGAAAATGACAACTGCGTCAGGCTGAAACTAGCAAAAAACACTTGCGTCACACCTGGCGCCGCATTGCGCCGGGTGCATGATAGGGCCCATAAAGTCGAGATAAATTTTTATTGTAACTATGGACTACGTTCACGAGAGGGATGTAGAAGTTTTCACCATTAAGCTTACACTGGTGATGTACCGAGAAAAGTGTTTTAAAGCTTGTTCTTTAGTAGAACATCACAGTTATATATGAAATGAGAACAGTAGGGCATGTAGATAGGGAATACGTGTTTTTTTTATAAAAAAATATAATTATATTTTCACAATTTTTTTTTTCAAACATTTTTTCAGACAATTACTGTAGTTATTCTGTTCTGAACATCAAATCCTTTGTTTATCCATCAAATGTATATTAACTAGTTGGTTGAATAAAAATATTTGGATTTTATATTTAAAAAATACCTCAAGTTAGCATCAGGTAGCTAGTTAGCTAGACAGTTAGTATCAGCTAACAAAATGTTTATAATTATTGCTCATATTATTTTTAATTTTAAGCAAAAAAAAAAAACAGTCTGTACTCTGATTTTGCTGTAAATGTTTAAAACAAATTGCTTTGTCAGACTGAGGGGCATTTTATCCCACCCATGGGGGCGTTCTGGTACAATTCTTGGTATAAATTTAATTTTTGTTAAAAATCTAATAACATGAAAACTCTGGACTTTTTTCATACTTTGTTTATAATTTATGTAATTGTCAATAAAACTATGATAACTTTTCTGAACACATTTAACTTTTGTTTCACTGAAAAAAATCACAGTCCTTAAGGGGGCGGGGTTACTGCCCTGCATCATGCTGGTCACAAAACAACTATATGAAATGTAGTTCCCTTTCAGTCGGTCACTCCCGACGTCACGTCGGCTGACCGACGAAATTGGGATCTCGCTTAGAGAGACCAATCCACTTCGAGTGTAAACTAAACGAGCCAATGCACATTGGCATGCGATTATTGCATCCAGCTGCTGCTGATCACAGCGTGAGTATAAGTAGGCAGCAGATGCAACGCATATTCAGCTTTTCGCTTC